AAAACACAATTGGTTCACTCCAGTCTCCAGGACCAACTTGAGTATAGGCACGTACCTATTTTATAATAATTAATAATAATAATATTATTAATTGCTGACTCACAGATACATAAACAGGTTGTCCACTGGAGGGAAAATCCCTAGTAATGTTGACCTGATAGACAGTGACATCACTAGGCACTGGAATATAGCGCCCACGACGAGAAGGATCGCTGAGGTCAGCATAAAAGACGACCTCATACATAGTGATGACACCATGAGCTGATGATGAGACATTCCATTCAACATATTGACGACCTGATAGGACCTTCACACCAACTACTGGCATCGGAACTATTAATAATAATAATAATTATTATTATTATTATTATTACAGTTCATACCTCCTTCAGGAGTGGTAATTGCTATAAAGATTGATCTCTGAGTGCTGGAGGACTGATTGGAAACTCCATTTTCAGCTGACACAGTCACCAGGTAAGTGGTCAGTGGTAAGAGCCCAGTGAAGTTGTATGATGTAGCGTATAATGGCTGAGGGTTAGCTTTGACCCTAGTGGCATTGGCAGTGCTATAGTAATAGATATCATAATAGACATCAGTTCTACCACCAGTGCTGGCGGGGATGCCCCAGCTAATTAGTGAGTAGGTGCTGGTGGTAACGTTCACTAGTATACCAACCGGAGCTGAGGGGGGACCTGTTAAGTATAATAATAATAAATATTCTCATATATAAATACATGTATGTATCAGAAAATTTAAGGAATGGAGAATTCTCTGCTTTTCATTTTAACAAAATTTGGTCCAATTTTGGAGCAATTTAAAAAACTTATAAAAAATCCAAACTTGATCAGGATCAGCTCAAACTTTCTCTACAACTTAAGAACATGTATATACATCAGGAATTATAATGAAATACTGTTCACAGCTTCACATTGCCATACATACACTAATACATTATGCTCTTACCAGTACATGGCATTGATGGTCCATCATTAGGTGCCCTATAGAAGCCACTGTCACACTGACAGACACTAGAGCCGTGTACTGTACTGTCTGAATTGAGAGGACATGGTGTACAGACTGTGTTTGATAGAGTGGACTTGTATGTTGATGGAGCACACGCTATATAATGAGAGGAATAATAGAATCAATGATTAAAATGATATATTAAAATTTGGAGGTTATTTTATACAGTAAGGAATGTAGTTGGTACACTAGGTGCTGTCCGTTAAATGGAGGTGTACACTATAAAAAATTGCTAAGATTAAAGGTCTATTATCATCATCATCATCATCATCATTATTACTATTATTACTATTATTATGCTATCCTTCTTGTTGCCATTGTTGTTGTTGTTGTTATTATCATTATTGCTATTACCTTGACATTGATTAGTTCCTTCAATGAGCATCAGTTCATGTCCAGGTATGCACATACACACATCATCATAGTTCCAGCTGCCGTTGATATTCAAACTCAGTACAGGGAGGGACCCAGTGCTGGTATTGGCATTAGCGACACAGAGTCCTGTTATATTAATGCAATCAGTTGTGGGGGCGGGGGTCTCAGGGAACAGGGTTAGACCGGACTGCATAGCGGGACCAATCAAACGATAGACGAATAGACGAGTTATGGTGATATTAGCACCTAATGATGGATACAGTACAACATCAACTTGCATCATAAGATACACTGCCAGTAACACATTGAAATATCAGTGACACTATTAGTATTATAACACATTGAAATATCAGTGACACTATTAGTATTATAACACATTGAAATATCAGTGACACTATTAGTATTATAACACATTGAAATATCAGTGACACTATTAGTATTATAACACATTGAAATATCAGTGACACTATTAGTATTATAACACATTGAAATATCAGTGACACTATTAGTATTATAACACATTGAAATATCAGTGACACTATTAGTATTATAACACATTGAAATATCAGTGACACTATTAGTATTATAACACATTGAAATATCAGTGTCACTATTAGTATTATAACACATTGAAATATCAGTGACACTATTAGTATTATAACACATTGAAATATCAGTGACACTATTAGTATTATAACACATTGAAATATCAGTGACACTATTAGTATTATAACACATTGAAATATCAGTGACACTATTAGTATTATAACACATTGAAATATCAGTGACACTATTAGTATTATAACACATTGAAATATCAGTGTCACTATTAGTATTATAACACATTGAAATATCAGTGACACTATTAGTATTATAACACATTGAAATATCAGTGACACTATTAGTATTATAACACATTGAAATATCAGTGACACTATTAGTATTATAACACATTGAAATATCAGTGACACTATTAGTATTATAACACATTGAAATATCAGTGTCACTATTAGTATTATAACACATTGAAATATCAGTGACACTATTAGTATTATAACACATTGAAATATCAGTGACACTATTAGTATTATAACACATTGAAATATCAGTGACACTATTAGTATTATAACACATTGAAATATCAGTGTCACTATTAGTATTATAACACA